CACTTCCCTGTAGGTAAAAAATGCCCAAAAAAACACATTAAAAGCACCCAATAGATCCTTTTTTCGTGCACTCCGATAAATATACATTATCATTGAAAAAGATTTCTTGCTGCTCTCACCCACAAGATAAATCATTGGATTAATGATCTCAATGTCTCTTCCCCATCATCAATAAATGATGGTTCCATCGAAAAAGATACACAAAATCCAATTAAAAATCACCAAAGAATATAATGAAAGTTTCGCAGAATCGTTGAATATTCTTATCTTAACATCCTCACCATCCGAGGTATTTCTTCAAACATAAATCTAACTTCCAATTGAACGATTCTCGAGAGGAAATATTTTTGCTCAGAATGTGAACATCAAAATAATTTCGAGAAAAGTTTCAGTCTATTTATCGTCGTCTTATAGTCCTCAACATCCGCCTCGAACAACTGTTGCAATAGGTTCAGTTTCTTCTCCACATTCATTTCACTCGCAGCCACCGTTGCCATTTCTTTTTCATCCAACGCCTTCATCAACTTACGCCAATCCCGATCACTCTTCTGAAGATAACACCCAATTGATTGCAACCTAACTTGATGGCTTTTTATGATTCGATTCATCCCATTCAATCACTTTCAAATCTTAAAATTCCATTTGTGACAAGAAAATTTTGAACTGTGACGTAAAACAAAACAAATTGTAAGATTGCTGCAAATACATTTCAATGTCGCACTGCGTGCTCATCAAAAACATTTACTCATGCAATTCAACGCCAACAGAAAAATCTCTTCACTTCGAAATGTTCTCTTCGGCACATCATAAAGAGTTCGATAACAAACGGTTTAAATTACCTTGCATAAACAACCATCAAATTAAATGAAGTAATACCTTTAGAGGTTTCTCCAGTCTTCGTTTCACATCAACGCGGTAAGCTTTCATTTCAGTTTCATCACTCGTNAAAAGATAACAACATTTCATATCAATATCACTATCTTCAAAAACCTGCATTGATTGCTTCTACTCAACAATGATTCGCTCTTTGATTGCTAATCGTCATTTCTTTAACATTGAAGAAACTCGGCGATTGTAAAAATTGTACCACTTTCGGGCAATATGAAAATTTATTTGCACATCAATAAAAACGATCGTCAACAGTGACGATGTGGATACTTTGAACTTAAAAGCACTCATATGCCAATCTTTCGCCTTCACGTTGATTTTACACCCCTTAAAAAGGATCGGCGAGAACCAACGCATTGAACAAGTTACCGGATTAATTTTGAGCTTTGTGAGTGCAGCATTTTTCATGTCGGCAGTGAAACCGCTCTTCAGATTTTCCGGCGAGAATTGCGGCAACTTCGAGCAATTACAACAATCCACGTAATCTCGCAAGTGAATAAACGAATCGGCTGGATCTTCAGCTGAATTCCACTCACAAATTACTCAAAGTACAAAGAAATGTTCGACAAATCCAGAATCTCTCAGATGTTAGAAATGAACTGAACAGTGCCAAAGATGTACCACAAATATTTTACATAACTCCTTCAAACCTGCATCAAAAATCACCCAAAACACTCACCAGTAAT